GAAGTCAATGGACTTGATGAACTGCCCATATTTCCTTTTAAGTCCAGTTGGCTTCTTCCCTGACTCTTTCTCCTTACTTTGCCTTATATTTGCCAGAAGTATGATGGTGCCCAGCATGATGGTGCCCTTTCTTACCAAGCCAGAGGACAGATTGGTTGATCTTGACTTTTGCCTTATTTATTGCTTTTGCTCTTATCCTGATTCAAATATCTCCCTCCTTCCCTCCCTCCTTCTCTCTCTCTCTCTCTCTCTCTCTCTCTGTCTCTGTCTCTCTGTCACTCTCCCCTCCCATTGCCTCCTCTTCCCTTTCTTTCTCTCCCTTCCCCTTCCCTCCCCTCCTCTCCTTATTCTTCTTCTTCCTCCCCTCCCTTCCCCCTCCTCCTCTTTTTTCTCCTCCTCTTCTTCTCTCTGTCTCCGTTTCTCTGTCACTCTTTCTCTCTCTGTGTCTCTTTCTCCTCTTTCCTCTCTTCCCTCTCTCTCTGTTTCTCTGTCTTTGTCTCACTCTCTCTCTGTCTCTCTCTCCTCTTTCCTCTCTTCCCTCTCTCTCTGCTTCTCTGTCTTTGTCTCACTCTCTCTGTGTCTATCTGTCTGTCTTTCTATTTCCAAGAAAAAAATTGTGAATTCATTTAGGCAAATTTGGCTGCCAGTGATAACTGAGATATGGGGAATGACAAAAATATGTCTGTCTCTGGAGCACTCTAACCCTGCAAACCACTGTCCTGCCCCTTCTTGGAAGGCTGAAGGTTGTCAGCAAGGGTAATTGGAGTTGATTTTTTGAAAAGTCTTTGGCTAACACATTCTCTCATGTGACTTGGACCTTGAGTAGGGCAGAGAAGGAGTTGGCTGTGTGTTCTCAAGATAAGAAAAGTCACTGCTCTAGGTCCAATGACAGACTGGTGCCACCTGACTTTTTGCAGTTCAATCTGCCCATATTTAAAACCTAAAATTTTAGAAAATCATAGTTTTCATAGATATCAGGGGGTTATCTAATAGAATATTCTCATTTTATAGATGAGAAAATTGAGGCCCAGAGAAGCTAAGGGACTTACCAAAGGTTACATAATAGCAAAGCCAGGATTCAAACCCAAGTACAGGACAATGGTCTTTCCAGTGCACCAATTATGAGCCATTATGGCCTTGGCAATAGCCAAGGGAAGATAATACAAAAACCTCCATGGGTTATTTTTTCTTCTATACTCTTAATTATATAAGTTCTTTTGCCACCACAACCTGTCATGCAGGATGAACTGAGCTCCTCTCAGGTCCTAGAAGTGTCACTGGAAAAACTGTTGGAAAGCCCTTCTTTTGATCACAGCAGCAAAATTGACTGCTTTCAGAATGCCATTTTTTCTATGGTCTCCTTGAGGCATCCATGGAAATGAGTTATTTTTTCTTGTATACACTTTTTAAATGTTTATGCTCCTAAAAAAAGTCTTTTTCACCGTGTGTATTTTTTTAATCAAGAGGCCCGGTGCCCCCGGTTAGTACACTTGCAAAGGGGGACAAAGAAGAACCTTCCACTCCCCTAGATGTTCCCAACACCTGATCACATCACATGGCCAGGGTTAGTGCCAAATGTGAAGCAAAGGAAAGAGGAAGCTTACTGGGGTGAGGCAAGGAAACCATGGAAGCTGGCTAGTTTGAGAGCTAAATACATTCAATGAATCTTTATACTGCTTCCTCGGAGTAGTTGTAGTTGACTTCATCTAGCATATGTCTTAGAAGTTAGGCAAGGAGATACTCTTTTGGGCTTCATCTCAGGATTCTGTGTCCTGTTTAATCCCTTTAATTGTTGTATATGGCAATGTAGTATAAGAGACCTGGATATGCAATCCCAGTTAACCAGAAAACATTCATTTTTCTATTAGCTGATCCATCCCCATTGAAATATGTTGTATGAAAATTAAGTCAACTAAAGCCATAAATGCTATTTAAAAAAAAAAAAGCACTGTACTTAAAAGTCAGAAGACCCAGGCTCCAGGCCAAGCTTCATTACTTACTAGCAGCATGACCTTGGGCAAGTCACCTGACTTCTGTAAGCCTCAATTTCTTCATCTGTAAAATGGGGGAAAATAACATTTTCACTACTTACCTCAGTGAGGATCGACTGAGAAAACCTTTTATAACTGTAAACGATTGCATAAATATCTATTATTGTTATTCTTCTTCTTCACATGAGATACATCGGCCCTAACCAAGAAGATGAGTGAATATGTCTTGTTTTGTTTTGTTTTTTTAACCCTACACTATGCTTCTTAATTAGTGTGGTTGAATACACTTATTCAAGTGTATTCTTACTCAATACTATTGAATTCATGGATATAGGTGAGTAGCTTATTTAACTAAAGGTGGAATAGAGGGAAGGTTTGGTAGTCCCTGGGTGCAGGAACAGCCTCTCTCTGGCCAAGCTTTATTCGTTTTCTCAGCTTGAACTGCCCAGTCCTTCAGGGAAGTTCAAGAGCTCACTCAGCAGGGAGAGAAGGAAAAAAAAACTGCTCTTATCTCACTTCCCCATTTTCCTATCTAGCAGCTGTGTGATGTGGCCCATGGCCCCTTTGAAGCAGATGGTCTTTAATTCTCTCTCCAGCATTCGTCATATTGGTATGCCCTTTCCTCCTGACTGCTGTCTTCCCTGTGGGTTTTCATGACACTGCTGTTTCTTGGTTCTCCTCTTACCTGGCTGACCTCTACTCTCCAGCCTCCTTTGCTGGATCCTCACTCATCTCCCATTCCCTAAATGTGGATGTAACTTCCAAACTCTATCCTGGAAGCTCTTCTCTCTCTCTGCACTCTCTGCCTCTTGTTGACCTTATCTGCTCCCTGAGTTACAGTTCTGTGTCAACAACTGCCTATGAGATAATATTTGTTAAAGCCCTTAGCGCAATGCCTGGCACATAGTGCATACTTAATAAATGTAACCTCCACCCCATTGGACACTTTGAATTGTACATCCCATGTCCACCTCAGACTTAACCTATCCAAACAAAACTCATTAGTCACCCAGACTTACACCCTCGGAGTTCATCCTTGACTTCTCACTCTCTGTTACTTCACATATCTATGTATATTTTTTATTTGTACAAAATTGTTTACATGTTGTCTCCTCTATTAGACTGTGAGCTCCCGGAGAGCAGAACTGTCTTTATTGTGGATGTGGTTTTGTTTTTGTTTTTTCTTTGCTCTTCCTTTGTATCCCTAGCACTTAGCAAAATGCCTCACACATAGAAGGTGCTCAATAAATGCTTGAATTAGTTGTCATATTTCCATAATATCTTTTTCATCTGTCCTCTTCTGTCTACTCATTTAGCCACTTCCCTAGTCCAGACTTCATCATCTCTCACCTGGTACTACAATTCCTTCCTAATTGATCTCCCAGGCTCCAGTCTCTTTCCTCTCTAATCCATTGTCCTTAGAGCTGAAAAGGTGATATTCCTAAAACATAGGTCCAGGTCTAACCATGTCACTCCCCTGCTCACTAACTTTCACAGGCTCCCTATTACTCTTGTGTTTGGCATTTGAAACCTGTCATTACATGGTTCCATATGTTATTACCCTTCCTATGTTCTTTGGTCCAGCCAAACTGGTCATCTTGCTGTTCCCAACACATGCAATTCCATCTCCTGTCTCATACTCTCCTCTCCTCTGCCACTTAGAATACCTCATTTCCCTCAAACCTCAGCTCTCAGTGGCTTTTCCTGATTCTCCCCCTTCCCAGCTTTTTGGAACTCCATCCACAAAATATTTTGTATTTATTTTTTGTATTTTTATATATACTTATTTTTTATTCTTTCATATGTGTACATGCTGTCCTAGCCTATGGAGTGTAGATTAATAAAGGCAAAGACTTTTGTTTTTTGTCCTCGTATCCCTAGCACCTTATACAGCACCTGGAACATATTAGGCATTTAATAAAAGCTTGTTGATTAATTAATTGATGGCTTCTTCTCAGCCACTCCCACTTCTTAGCACAGGTCACTGGAAGTGAATCAGTCTATTATCTCCAATGAAGGGGGAGTGGGAAGGGAATAAATATTCATAAAGCACCTACTATGTTCCAGGCACTACACTAAACATTTTACCAGTATTATCTCATTTGATCCTAACAACAACCCCATGAGGTAGGTGCTAATGTTATTCCCATTTTACAGCTGGGGGAACTGAGGCCAACAGAAGTCAAGTGACTTAGCCAGGGTCACACAGCTAGTAAGTATATGAAACCAGATTTGAACTCAAGTCTTTCTGAGTTCGCTGATCTGGCCTTTCTCCCCACCAGAGTCTGGAATATGAGGCGAAGCAGAGGCAGTTCAGATCCCCATACTGGGTTCAGAAGCAGTAACCTGATCCCAAAGGAGAGAACAGAGAGGCCTCAGCATTCCAGTGCTGCAGATGCCCAGTCCCAGATAAGACGATTCACCAGTTGTAAACAGAAGACATCATGAGTAACAGGAGAAACAATAGCGCTCCCATCACCAGGGAGATTGTGTACTTCTGGGAGCCAGTCTCTGCCCAGGTCCCGGCATACCATTTTTGCCCACAGTTTTGTATACCAGATAGCTTCTTAGGAGCACTTGTATGGGCCTGGCGTTGGGTAGTTGAGAGAGTTCTGGATTTAGAGCCAGAGGGCTTGGGTTCAAAGTCCAGCTCTGTGCCTCATAACCAGTGAGGTCTTGGGCAAGTCACTACACTCTCTGTGCCTCTGGTTCCTCACGTGCAAAATGAGAGGGTCAAACTTGACCATCTCTAAGGTTACTCTGAACTCTGATGCCCATTATTCTGTGATAGCTGATGCTTAATAAATATTTTGCTAATAGTGATTTTCAGTGGGCTAGCAAAGAGGGTAGAAAAGGGGAGGGAAAAATGCAGCCAAGAAAAAGGGTAAAGACAAAAGTGAAAGAATGGGAGTCATCCTTTCCTACAGGTAGAAGCTGTATGGGGCCTATAATAGCAGCTTACCTGATTTGAAAAAGAATAACTGGAGATTTTTCTTTCTGTTTTCACAGTGAGCAAGAAAAAGTTATCATCTGTCTTCAGAGGCTGATTGACCCTGACAACATTATATGTAAGTTCTTTAAAAGTCGAGGTCCAAGCAAACATGTCTGCCTGTTTCCATGCTTTTTCCTATTTACCCAATTTGTCATTTATACTTTCCTTCCACTTTACCCACCCTCTCTCCAGCTGTCTCTTTGGTGTGTTCACTTGTAATTCCTAATATAGCCAAGCATTGCCTTTGACCTTGAAAGGGCAAGGCTCTGGATAGCTATGTGGAATTGGAAATCTCTCTCCTGGACGATATATCGCACGCACACACATACATACACACACGTGATACTGAGGCAGCATAGAGAAGTGACTAGAGGGCTGGCCTTGGGGTCAGAAATACCTAGCTTCAAGTCCTGCCTTCGACACAAGTCAGTGGCCCAGGCAACTCTCTGAGACTCTAAATTAAAAATCTATACTGATCTGCATTGGTAGAGGTCGTTCCCTCACTAGGAGGTCCCTTTACTCTTGAAATCACAGGTCTAGTCCAATAAATATATATTACATAAGCATAAATATGAATGCATATGTTTATTGGGCTAAATATGTCTACCAATAACATAATACCAAAATATTACTATACTATTACTGAATCTATTTATTTAGTAAATAATAAATGTATATTTAGAGACTATTGAAGGTTAAAATTGCACTAAGATTTTTGGGACACTGTATATGTATATCATGTTTCTTATTGTTCCTTTAAAACAAGCTTTTCTGGCTCTGGTATGCAGAATGTTGTATTTCTTGGCAGAAGGGAGGGGAAACAGTCTTTCTTAAATCCATTTTGCCAATCGGCCCTCTAGTAATGACTCCTAGGGCACCATGGTTTAGCACAGAAGCCAGTGATTAAGATCTGGTATGTGACGTGATAAATGACTAACACCTTTTCCACAACATGGCAGGGGTTGGGACCTGGAATGTACAAGTATTCCCTTTACGCCATATGGGTGTGAAAGAATTATTTTTTCCTTGGTAAGACGACGCATGAACAAATTAATGCTTGGCTCTCAAGGTATTAATTCATAAATGTTCTGACCAGCCGGCAGAACTGGGCCTGATGGGAGTAAGCAAGGTCATACATATCATGTGCTAGAGAACACAATGAGGGATGTTTTTGATGATGCTTTTTTTTTAGGTAATCAGGGTTAAGTGACTTGCCCAGAGTCACACAGCTAGTAAGTGTCAAGTGTTTGGTCTGAGGCCGGATTAGAACTCAGGTCCTCCTGACTTCAGGGCCAGTGCTCTATCCACTGCGCCACCTAGCTGCCCCTTAATGATGCTTTTTAACAATGCATATGTGGCAACTCCATAAAATGCCACTATGGTACATAGATATTTTAGAAAATAATCTCTAGAGCTGGGAAGGACCTTACAGGCCATCTGTCCAATTAATCAACAAGCTGGGGCAGCTAGGCGGTGCAGTGAATAGAGCTCTGGCCTTGGAGTCAAGAGGACCTGAGTTCAAATCCAGCCTCAGACACTTGACACTTACTAGCTGTGTGACCCTGGCCAAGTTACTTAAATCGATTGCCTCACTAAAAGGCAAAAAAAAAAAAAATAATAATAATCAATAAGCATTTATTAATCACCTACTATATGCCAGGCACATAAAGGAAAGAGAAGAGCATTGAAAGCCTAAGTCCCATCTCTCTCTCTCTCTCTCTCTCTCTCTCTCTCTCTCTCTCTCACACACACACACACACACACACACACACACATGCACATGCTGCCTGTGTGATCCTGAACAAGTCACTTAATCTCAATCCTTCCTGAGGGCAGTACTCTAAGATTGCAAATTTCAGGAAAGGTACTGAACTGCAGCAGGAGAGTGAATTTTGTCACCTGTGAATTCCCTATACTAAAATCTCGATCCTATAGTTAAGGCATTAAAATAAGCCCTGGGAATTCAAAGGCAAAAGTGAAACTGTCCCTGATTTCAAGCAGTTTATATTACAACAATGGTGAGAAAATCACTTTTTAACCATTATGTACTGTACTAACGTATTGTTATTACTGGCATTGATGATGATGATGATATCATCAATTAGTCAATAAACATTTATTAAATACATACTGTGTGCCAGGTATATGGGAGGCAGCTAGGTGGCTCAGTGAATAGAGCACTGGGCCTGGAGTCAGGAAGAGCTGAGTTCTAATGTGACCTTAGACACTAGCTGTGTGACCCTGGGCAAGTCATTTAACTTCTGTTTGACTTAATCCACTAGGGAAGGAAATCACAAACCATCCCAGTATCTTTTCCAAGAAAACTCCATAATGGGGTCACAAAGAGTTGGACACTATTGAACACATTCCAGGCACTATGCTAAGTGCTGGGGATACAAAGAAAGACAAAAGACAATCCCTGTTCTCAGGGAGCACGTGGTCAAAGTGGGGAAGTTTCATAGAAGATATATTGGAGTTAGGTAGAGGGTAAACACTAGAACAGGGGTGGGAAACCTTTGGCCTCAAGGCCACACGGCACCCTCTAGGTCCTCAAGTGCGACCCTTTGACTGAATTCAAACTTTGTGAAGAATTAAGAATTAAGGAGAATCATGCTACATCCTTCAATAATTCCTTAACTTATAGTACTAAGGTCAGTTGTAAGCAGACACTCATTAAAGTTTGCTCATTTGCTCATTCAGCATTTAAAGAGACCCAGCTAGATGCAAAACACTGTGTTAGATGCTAGAATGAATTATTGAATGGACAAATGTTAGGCCACTTTCATGTCTTAATAAGTATAGCAACATTAGCTCAATTTCATCTTAATTTGACGAGTAAGGCCTTTCGAGGCCTCAAATTAATCATTCCCAATTTTATTTCTCATTGTACTATATCAGGCAGTTGCAGGGCAGGGCTAGAGAAGAGCCAGGAGTAATAGTTCGCCTAGACAGAAGGAGGATTGACAGGTAGCATAAATCAGGCGACCCAGAGGTCCATAGAAATCTATAAAACCAGGGAAAAGGAGGCAGGTATCATCAGTTCAGGCAAGTCAAGAGGTCACGTCCAAGGACATTGGCTCAGGAAAAGGAGGAAGCAGATATTGTTAGCAGGCAAGGACCCGTCCAATAGGCCGGGCAGAGCCCAGGGAAAGGACCTGGGTAATGGACACAGGATATGATCAACAATAAAAGCAACTTAGTTTAAGCCTAAATCTCTGCCTGCAAGGGTTCTTAACCTGCTGTGAAGAGGTTGGGGGGGGGGATGAACTTGAATGGGGAAAAAGAGTTTAATTTTAGGAGAATTGATTTCTTTTGTAATCCTATGTGTTTTATTTTATGTCACCAAAAACATTCTGAGCAGGGTTCCATAGGCTTCACCAGACTTCCAAAGGAGTTTATGACATAAAAACAGTCAGGAACTCCTACTATTAGTTTAACCCCATTGCTCCCCCCCCAAAAAAAAAAAAGAAAAAAAGAATCCTTACTATTACAGGCATGTTTCTCTGAGATAATTTGAAAAGGCTGAAATTCTTCCCGGATAGGGCCTTGGCTATTCTGCTAGATTTCATTTTAGACAACAATAGATAAAGGGCAGATAGGTGGCATGGTGGATAGAGCACCAAGCCTGAAGTCAGGAAGGTCTAAGTTCAAATCTGGCCTCAGACACTTACTAACTGTGTGACCCTGAGCAAATCACTTACCCGTTTGCCTCAGTTTCCTCATCTATAAAATGAGCTGGAGAAGGAAATGGCAAACCACTCCAGTATCTTTGCCAAGAAAGTCCCAAATGGGGGTAAGTCGGACATAACTGAAAAACAAAATTACATTAAAACTACTCTAAATGGAGAAGAGGTAGATAGGACTGAATGAACACTCCCCAAGAAAAACCTGGGAAGCTATCTTGATAGATTTTTAATTTTTATCTATCTATTTATTTGGCTATGTGTTCCTTTATTTATTGTTGAGAATAATAGCTTACATTTATAGAACATGTTATTTGACCCGTATAGCAACCCTATCAGAAAATGCTATTCTCCTTTTTCACAGATTTTTACAGATCAGGATTCTGAGGTTCAGAGGCTCCATACTGTTCCCTGTCCATCTTCATGCTAAGCTCCTGAGGCCCAGACTTCACTTCTGACAGGACATCTAACTGAAACCCTGGAAGCCTTTCCTTCTGATCTGTGAAACTTTGTTACTGACCCACACTCCTTATTAGAAAGTAAGGGGTTTTTTTGGTTGTTGTTGTTGTTTTTGAGGTCAAGGACTGTTGCTTTTTTTAATCATTTTTATTTATTTCATTAAATATTTCCCAATTACATGTAGATTTTTAAAAAATGATTCCCTAGTATCAATTTTTTTTGTCATTTGTCTTTAAAGAGATTTTTTTTAATCTAGGCAATAGCAGAATAGTAGAGTTGTAGTTGTATGAAATAAAAAATTCACTCAATTTGGAGTCAACAGACCTGAGTTTGAATCCCAGCTTTGATAATTGCTACCTATGTGGCTTTACTTTTCTCAGCTAAAAATGAAGGGGTTGGTTTAAGACACTCGATAATACTCTCAGGTTTCATTTAATTCTGATTAATGAATATTTTTCACTGTAGTAACTTCCATATTTGGATTCATAACACACACACACACACACACACACACACACACACACACACACACACACAATGCTTTTACTCCCATACATAAAGAAACATCTGATATACTGGCAAAACCCTCCTTTGTCACATTACTGGGCAGTTGGTTCCAAAAGAACATAGAAACGTAGACTGGAGCCAAGGTCACTGGGGTAGGAACAGAAGCCATTGAAACCAAAATAGGGAGTCAGAAATGAATTCTAGTGCCATCTTGTCTAGTCAGATTACAATGAGATTCATAGTATCACTGAAAAATTTGATTATAATGTGTTAAGTGATATTGCAAACAGTATTATTTGGGACACTTATTCATTCATTCATTGCATTTGTTCATTCATTCATTGCATTTATTCATTCCTTCAATAATTATTTATTAAGCATTTATTATGTGCCAGACACTGTGCTAGAAACCAAGAATAAAAAGAGTATAATACAAATTCAAAGAATACTAAAGAGTCTCTGAGCACTCTATCCACTTCACCAACTTGTTGCTTTAAGGGCTTTGGACTAACAGAAGTCTCAAAAAATTCCTACTCTTTACCCAATTATCTTCTCCTGCCCTGTGCCTATCCAGGAAGAATTGTAATGTACTCTGCTTGCTTCTTTTACCTAAATATTTCCTTTATTCTGATTTGCTTCAAATATAGAGACAAGAGGTGGGCTAGGGATGCACAAAAATTTAAGTTAAGGCAGAGTCAAACCTCTATCTGAATATTAGGAATTCTTCCTGTTGGGGGCTCTGAGCTATCATGATTGCACGAATAATTTTTGATCTGATACAAATTCCCTAAAACAGAAAATAATGGAGTTCAGGAGCTGAGGGCCATTTTATTGCCCTTAGGTTAAAAATAAACTAGCTATTGCAACAAGATGTAGCTAATAAAATCACCAGCCTTCAAAGTGAGAACCGAAGGGGAGCAAGGTAGAGATAGATGTAATCTTGATGAGATTCTGTTCTGCCCTTCCCAGTGATAGGAGAGAGTTTATAGTGTACCTTCCCCACTGATATAGAATCACACACTTGTGTTACATGTGCAAAGCAAATCAAAATGAAGGCTGAAGTAATTTAGGGTGGAGAGAACTAATTATTGAGGGAGTCACAATTGTATAGGAAATGGCAGTTTAGCAGAGCCTTTGAAAAAACAAAAACAAAAAACTAAAGATTCCAAGAGGCAGAGGTATAGGAGGAGAGTATGCCAGGCATGAGGGACAGCTTGTACAAAGCCATATAAATGAAGGCTGGACTATTATGTAGTGGGAGCATGCAGTAGGTCAGTTTGATTGGAACATAGAGTACAAAAGAGGGAATAACGGGAAATCAGTCTGCAAAAATAGGTTGGAGCTAGATTGTGCAGGGCTTTAAATGCCAAACATAGAAGTCTGTGTTTTTTTATTTGGGGTAATACAGAGACACTGACACCAATATATTTTTTAATTTTTTTGTCCTTATGGACCCATAAATGAAAGTATAAAAAGAAGGTTCAAAAGTGCAAATCAAAAAAGAAGCACAAAATGGACCTTGTTCTGCCAAAGGTAAGACAAAACTGTCAGCTGATGTTTATGAAAATTAAGTAAGCCTAGCAATATGGTTTATTAATATGCTCTTTTATATGATCAACATCCTGGAAAGAAAGTCAGATGCACAGACTAAGTTATAAAATAATGCTTTTACAAAGATTTTTTTTTGGATACTGTTATTTCTTTGTTCCATGTCTTTTTCTCCAGGCTACTTATTGAACAATAGGCTTCTGAAAGGATGGACAGTTAAAGGATTGGTTAAAAAAAAGATCATTTGCCTGGAATCTTCTAAATCTAATCAAAAGGGCTTTGAACATAAAAGAAAGAGGAAGAAAATTGTTTATATATATATATGTAGCAAGGCTGTCCACCACATGTAGTATGAGAGAGTCATTTGTGACTCAAAGGGAGGCAGAATAAATATCTCTAAACTCTTCTCTCCTATTTCTTCTCCAAGGGGGACTTTAATTCCTGCCAGGAAGGGTGGAGGAGGTTGGGGCCAAAAGTTTGACTGCTAGAATTATATCCATCTGCTCCACTTAAAAATTGCTAATCTAGGGGATGTGGTTTTCAGGTTCAAGTTAAACTTCTGATCACTATTTATTAAGGAGAAGCAATCAAATATTTATTAAGCACCATACTATGCCTGGTATGCTAATGATAGCTATTAGTGTTAATATTATTAGAGGGGAGAACTATTTGGATAAATATAAATGGAAACAGAAGTGATATTGTCCTCAGGGTATTTTACAGACATAGAAAGGCATTAAGACAAAAGAAACACATAGAGGAAGAGTAAGGGAACAAAGTGTTATCATAGCACAGTGACATAATGTGATACTGATAAGAGACTTCAATTATCTAGACACCTGCTGGAGCTCTCAGTCACTGTGTGTGTGTGTGTGTGTGTGTGTGTGTGTGTGTGTGTCTCCAAATCAAGGCAGTTATTGATAATTCTATCCTTCACAATTGGAGAAACCAATAACAGGTATGGTTATTCTGGAACTGATTGTCATCTATAAGAAAGAGCTAGTTGCTAAGGTAAATTAATGGGACCTTTGGAGGAAAGTGATTACTACATCTTATCTGACAGCAGCATTTATATAGCACCTACTATGTGTCAGGAACTGGGCTAAGGACTTTACAAACATTGTCTCATTTGATCTTAGAATTCATGAAGGAGGAAAACAAAGCTGAGAATGGTTTGGAAGCATCTTAGATTTTTAAAAAGCAGATTTCAAAAGATTCAGAGAAAGGACAATTTGGTTCTCATCTGAATGATATCAAGATTGATATTCTGAAAGCACAAAGAGAAACTTTTCTGAAGAGAATGAAAATATGGAAATTATCTATGGGAACCGATATGAAAGCACAAGGGACTCACAGGCATTTAGATTTCTAAAAGACACCTATAGAAGATGAAAGCAAGAGAAGATGACAGAAGGTGAATATAAAGATAGGGCAAAGTTTTATAAGAATAATTTCAAGAGTGATAAAGCTCAGAATGAGCTAAGATTGGCAATGGGTGGGTGTTACCTAGAGTGAGGGCGAAGGATGCTCAAAGAATATATAGAACCACCTCTTGGAATCGATGGGATGATGAAAATGGATAACTGAGTGAAGACAAAACTAGTAATTCCTTATTTTGTTGAATGAAAATGGTTCATAAAGAGTTAAAACTTGGGGGGCAGAGCCAAGATGGCAGAGTGAAAGCAGTGACTTGCTTGAGCTCCTCCCCAAACCCCTCCAAATACTCATAAAAAATGGCTCTAAACAAATTCTGAAGCAGCAGACCCCACAAAAAGACAGAGTGAAACAAATTTCCAGCCCAAGACAACCTGGATGATTGATCAGAAAGGTGTATCACGCTGGGCTGGGAGCGCAGTGCAGCTCAGCATGGGCGCGCAGGCCTCAGCAAACCTGGAGCAGGCCTCAGAGGACTGAATCGCGGGCAGCTGTGGAGGTTTCCAGACTCCTCAATCGACAAATGCCAAAGACAACTTAGAAGGTCAGTGGGAAAAGTCTGTTTCTGTCGGTGGTCAGAGAGGAAGGCGGGGTCTCAGCTCCATTCCCCAAGAGCCTGGCCCTGGGGGGGGGGCAGCTGCTTCCCGAGCTTCCGGCCCACAGACTGAGGGGGAATCCAGTGGCTGATCAGAGAGGGACTGCAGGGATCTCTTTGCCAGAGCTCACGCAGGAATCTCTTGCTTTGCCTGTGTGTGAATCTGGGTCACAGTTCTGGGCGGCAGTGCTGGGGTGAGGAGGAGCGCTGGCATGGTGGAGCTTGTAGTGGCTGTGGAGAGGAACCCCTCCTCACAGTTACAGGACAGAAAGGAATACTTGTGGTCACAGGCCAGGAAAGGAGTAAACACCTCGCCCCTTATCATATCACCTTGGAAGAACTGAAAATTTACAGGTCCCTACAAGTATCTCTGAAAACAGCTACACAAACCCCTGAAGCTTGGGACAGTACACTCTCCACATTGGAAGCAGACTCTTACCTTAACAAAAGTTTAAAACTCAAGTAATTGGCTGGGATCATGAGCAAGCAGCGCAAAAAGAGTCAGACTATATTATCTTACTTTGGTGAAAAAGAAGATCAAAATATACAACCAGAAGAAGACAACAAAATCAAAGCTCCTACATCCAAAGCCTCCAAGAAAAATATGAATCAGTCCCAGGCCTTGGAAGAGCTCAAAAGGGATTTTGAGAAGCAAGTAAGGGAAGTAGAGGAAAAACTGGGAAGAGAAATGAGAGTGATGCAAGAAAATCATGAAAAACAAGTCAACAGCTTGCTAAAGGAGACCCAAAAAATACTGAAGAAAATAACACCTTAAAAAACAGCCTAACCCAAATGGCAAAAGAGGTCCAAAAAGCCAATGAGGAGAAAAATGCCCTAGAAAGAAAAATTGGCCAAATGGAAAAGGAAGTCCAAAAGATTACTGAAGAAAATACTTCCTTAAAAATTAGGATAGAGTAATTGGAAGACAGTGACTTTATGAGAAATCAAGACACTGTAAAACAAATCCAAAAGAATGAAAAATTAGAAAACAATGTGAAATATCTCATTGGAAAAACAACTGACCTGGAAAATAGATCCAGG